TTGTGCACTCTGAAGATCTGATCTAAAGTCAGCTTGCATTAGTAAGCTTTGTTCACGCAAATAAATGCTTTCAGGATCAATCCTGAAGATAAAATACAAGAGCAAAACTCTAGGACAAGAGAACAGCTCAAGGATTTCTGGGAGGTAAAGGAAGAAATCCTGTTAGTTGAATTTATGAGGCCAGAGAAAGCATTTGGAGGGCAAGAAGGTAGGAGCTGTGAACGAGGCAACCTCAGTGAGGGTACCGGGATAGACATTTTGTGTGATTTACAGAGCATAGAGAGCTTGCACACAACGTGGCTGGAGTACAGAGGAGCTGACAGCACAGAAGTCCTGACCAAATTCAACAAAAGCAATGGAAGGTAACTTCAATGTTGCAAATATTTCAGAATGATGCTGAGCCTTTGAGAAAGGACTGGGCAGGAACCATGTCCATAATAATGCAGGGCAGCTCCCATCACTTAAGAAGAGTGTCACTAATTGTAATAACATCTGAAAACCTCATAAAGAGAAAGATCTTTGGCCATGAAAGGGACCTTGCGATAACAAGCCCAGGGCTTATTGTAGATGATGTCATGCAACTGCTGTAAAAGATAGTTTTTATTGACAGAAGCATGGACAAGGAGCTCTGTAGGAGTGGAAAATGAGTTGCAATTTGGAGACCAGAGCGAGGCAAAATGATTATAACGTGGCCAGAGAATGGTAGGGACGTGAAAACATGAAGAAGGTCTCTTAGCTAAGATTAAACAAACATGATCCATAAATCTTGTACAGTGAAATCTCTTCTGCTGAGAGCTGTTTGTCTGAAAGGTGGTTATAGTGCTGTCCAGGAAGATTTTAGTGTTAAGAGGGTTTTTTTCCCAGCAGTTAGCTCTGGCAGAACAACCTGGGCTCAACTCCAGGCCAGTTTTTTTTCTATTGCTCATCCTCTCCAGCAGATTCCACAAGCCTAATTAGCAACACAGGCTTTGGCCCTTTTGTTGGCATAACCATGTTGTGACCTTTAATGATCCTTTGTATCCTTCTAGTGACCCCCATGCAGCCTGGTGGCTTTCCAGGAGCCTGAGCAGTTGGGAAAGCAGCAGACAGCCCTGTTGCCAATGCTCCGGATCTCAGCTCCTTCCTGTAGGAGCTTTGGCACCGTGGACTTAGCAGGAGTAAAAAGCTTTGCAAACCCTGCAGGATTTGCACCCGGCTGACTGCAAACAGGTCTGCAAGGTGAGAAAGCTCTTATTTTTATATTGCTGCTCTTTGAAGTGAAATTATTCTGAGGTGATTTGTCCCAGAGATTAGCAAAAATAAGTAGTTGAGTCTTTGACTGGCACACAGATATTTCTACAGTGAATTACAATATTGGAGGGCTCTGTAGTAAGTCCCACGCAATAAAGCTATCCACTTTGCTGCTTTCACTGTGACTGTATGCATACTATGCATACACTTATTTGACATTTTCTTGTAACTGTGTCCCAAAGCTTCATCAGCTTTATTTCAGGAAATATTTGGGACCTTTTGCAAAGATCCCGTTGTGCAAACCAAGTCCCCAAAAGACTGTGGTTCATACATGAACTCTCATGAGGAAAATCATGCCCTTCTGCTCACCCTTCTTCAAGGTTGTTCTGTCTCCTGACAGAATGACTACCTCGGGGAACCTGCAGTGCCAAAAATTGTGACAGAGAATGTGTCTGACCCTGCAGCCCTCCATTCACCGTATCAGCAGGGGTGCAAAGGCTGTGGGGTTAACTAGACTTGGGTAGGTGAAAAGACAACCCCCTGGTGCTAAAAACGGCAGAGAAAATGGTGAGTTTTTATTTGAGAGCAGAGTTCAGAGCAGGTGAGTCTCCTCGGAAGAAACTAACACTTGCAGAATGGCACCATCCAAATAAACAAGTTTAAAGTCTGCGTATTTCCTCCATCAACAGCACCATGAGAATCAGGAGCAAAGCTGGACACGTCTGTCAAGGACAGCGGGATTCTGGCAGCTCACCCAAGGTGGCAGGTCTCTACAGCAGGTGCCTGCACTGCCTGCCAACCACCGGTGGCTGGCACTGAGCCCTGGCAGTAGAGCAAGCGGATGGTCTTGTACCCCTAAAGGGCTTCTGGAGGCTAGGAAGGCCATGGGTGCAAATCAAGACACCCTGAGCAGCCAGTGGTGGTGTGGAGCCAGCCTTTTCCACTTCAAATCCCCCACCAGCCTCTCTTCAGAAGATAAAGTCTGCAGTGAAGGGATGGACTTCCATCCTGGTCCTTACCACAAGCCTTACGGAGCAAGAGATGACAGTGCTCAGAGAGAAGTAACAAGTCAATTGTTGTAACATCTTCTGCATAATGGATATTCAGGACTGAGTCTTGAAGGGAGGGGAAACAGAGTCAGTAACAAAATGAATTCCTGAACAAAATTCAGGAGCAATCTTCACTGCAAGCTTTTTCTGACACTGCATAGCATCCCCCCTTGCTCTATTTTTCTTCCAGGATCTAATTCTGTGATGAAAATTGGCCTTGACTTTGACCGAAATGCAAAGGAACTGTGTCTGCTTCAAAACTGTCTGATATGATCAGCATCTTAACATATAGGGAACTACATGTGAGTGCAAAGAGGACTGGCTGTATCTTTAAGACAAGGTGTCCTGTCATAGACAGGTGCTGGGAAAACATGATCTCCCACTGCAATGGAGACAGCGGCCACAATCCCAGGAGGTACCTGGAGTAACTCTGTATACAGAACCTGTGCACCAGACTGTGTGAAGCCTGCACCCAGTCCTGGTGTCAACCCTGAAAAAGCAGTGAAGGGACCGAGGAAAACAAGCAAATAACAGCGTCAAGGTTGGGAAACATCCTATCCTATCCAGCATAACCTTTTTAATATACCTCGGAGGAGATGAAGAGGGGGCTTGATCCACCTGGATGGAGAAGAGGCAAGCTATCATAGAATAGGAGAAAATGGATGGAAGCCAAAGTTAAAAAATACTTGCAATCTATTCTGAGTTTATCTGACATTGCAGGTAATTATCAGAAATTAGGAGTTCGGTGTACAATCCACACAGAAGACTTGGTTGCTTGTGCTTAGCAGGAAATCAGATGGATGACCATAATTGTCCTTTTTGACTTTACAAATTGCAAGTCTAATAAAACCATTGGCCTCTTGTGGCCTATGCCATCGCAAGAGAAAGAGGTACCTGAGCACTGTACCAGGTACCATGTTGCTGATGGACAACCCTATGACCACGCAACCAACATTGTTCCTCTCTCCCCGTCAGTCCTCCTCAGCGTCAACACTGCTCTACTAAGACAGAAATAGGCCAGAAATGACCTCCCAGGCCAGCGTGGGCACACTGGGAGGGCTGTGGACCCAGTTTCTCAGAGCTGCGATACCTCAGGGCTTTCTGATGGGCTTGTCCTGGCACAATTACACCATATACACAGAGCACAAGGGAAGAGACAGTTCCTAAGTGAACAGAATAGGTATTTCTTTTCCATTTTCACATATTTTTAACACTCTTTTTTTTTGCTGTGACTTATTGTGTTGTCACTTAATTGCACTGACACTGTTAAGTGTTTGGTGCAGTGGGAGTTTTTTGTTAAAGATGCTAAACAAGAACACGGTTGTGTGTACGTGTTCTGCTCTGCTGGACACTTTTCAGCTCAGACTGTGTTTCCTTGCTTCTCACCCTTTTATTTTGCTACAGTCAGCACATCACCTCTGCTGCCACTGTCACGAAACCTCAATGAAAACAGAGGTTTGGTGGCTGTCTTGCATCCATCCTGCCTCTGGGAACACGTGGCCAGAGGGCTGGTCGTGATCACAGCCCCTTGCATCCATTTTGCCAGTTGTACCTCCATGAAGGTGGCGTCACTGCTAAAGCCATTTCCTGTGTATAAGATGGCTCGTGGACCCCCAGTTGCCAATCAGGACACTGCAATCACTCTGTAATGTAAGTCTTACTTGCTACAAGGGAAAACAAAAATGTGCTGTGCTTTCTATAGTTCTATGATTCTTCCCTTCCACCTTTCATTATTTTTTCTGAAGGCTAAAAGGAATGGTTTGAATTTCTGGTGACTGTGACACTCCTGCATTTCCATCCCCACACACTTTGCAGCATTGACAGTGATGTGGAATCGTTACAGAACAGCAACAGGGAATATAGAAAAGCAGGAATGACATAGGTTCAGTCTGTCACAAGCAGAAGTAAACAATATTTGAACAGTGATCTAAAAATGTGTCAGCTATATCCTCCAGAAAACCCCAAAGGATTTCTCCTCCAGGTGTACCTTGTTATGTGCCTGAGTAGAAAGACCCTCATACAAAGTTCCAAATATTCCACAAACAGAATATAAGTAATCAGAACACCATTGTAGCAAAAAAACCTTCCTCAAAACCTCCTAAAATAGCTGCGTACAACATGGTAGGAAAAAAATGTCACATAGTCTTTTTGTAAGAGACAGAGAAAGAGAAGGACAGACAATATTTTAAATAATTTTAAATATCTTAGTTCAATACACTGGATGCTCCATTTCCTCTGATAACTGACCACAGCCTTGAAGTTTGCAGAGAGACTTTCATTTTTTTTCTCTCAAAAGCTCTATCAAACAAATAGTATAGGAATAATAAAATCAATTCTGAATGTCTTAATTTGAGATCTCAAGTCAATCTAATCTTCGGTAAATGCAACAGTCTTCATGGACCTAAATTTCCTCTCCGCTTTCATGTAAATACACTACTACATTTTAACTACAATAAATATAAGTAAATGTTTCTTTTTTGCACCCTTTCAAACTTTGAGATACCTCACAAACTGATTTTTTATTGGGGGGGAGCAATGATTTTCACTGCAGAAAGTACATTAGAACTTATTAGCAGAAACAGCAACAGAAAATATTTTTGACTGAGAGATCACAATCTGCAAATGCAAACTCTAATTATCTGTTAGTCATTATATCTTCACCTGAAACATTACATTTGTCCAAACTGTAGCAATTTGAATGTAAAAAAAAGAGAGACTCACCTGCCTTTTTTGTATACCTCATGTATTTCTTTTCCTTGCCGGTGGGCTCTGCATTCAGTGGATAAAACCCATCCCCACAACAGCAGGAAGATGCTAAAATGCATTTTATGGACAGTCAACATGTTACCTGAAGGTTCTGTATCCAGAAATAGTCCATATAAGAAGAAGAAAACCAAAAGGAAGATCCTGTTCCTCTTTTTAAGACATTATCGGTCTGATCGTTATTGGAAGGATGTTTACTCATACAAAAAATCATCCTGCAGTATTTAATCTGGACACTGGGGAAAGCAATTTCCACTAAACCTATAAATCCTTCTACGTCAGATGGCAGGGATTTTCTAGCAGTGTTGAATTCACGTATTCTCAGAGAACAATTCTTTTTCGTCAAAACAGGCTATTTTATTAATTGGTTTAAATGGGAACCCCTTTCAAGCACCTGTGGGAAAAGGTATATATATGTTTCTGCCTGGTTAACCAAAGCAGTGCAGTTAGTCAGGCAGGTGTTGTTAGTTTTCTTTAATCACTGAACTTATTTGTGTGGCAGTGATGCTTGTTACAGGCACCCTAATAGATTGAAAAGTGATAAGTGTATTGATTTCCAGCAAAAACTGATTTCCATTTAGCTCTACAGGACAGTATTTTGACCCTGTGTGGTTTTCTACATTACTTTAATAGAGAGTGGTTCTGTGGCTGGAGTGGTCGGTGCTTTCAGGACTTGCAGGGTCTCTGGAAAGCTTCCTGGTGTACCGGGGAGAGGGAGAGGACAGCATGGGGGGAAATAGTTCTCCTCTGCACCAGGATGTTTGGAGGGACCTTGACAAAGCAGAGCAGCAAATGCCAGAGCCTCAGGAGAGCATTGGTGCTAAAGAAAACAAAACAGCATGAGCAGAAATGCACAGTCAAGCCAGACATTGCCCATCTTGTTGGAGCTCATCACCCTCCCTGCATAACCCACAGCTGTGTTTACTCTCCTTCTCCTCCGCGTCTCCCCACAAGGCCTTACAGGTCTCACCTGTGTCTTATTACAAAGACCTTGCCCACAGCTCTGCAGACACCACAAGCCCCATCTCTTTGCTGACATTGCTCTTTTTCCTCTGCCTGTTACCAATGGATTTATATTTTAGACCAGTTCATCAAGTCACCCATCTCCTTTCATGAAAGCCTTTTCTAAAACCCCTGGGGAGCAGATCTCTACCTGGTCTAAGCTCACAAAGCTTTATTGACTTCAGTGAGTATTTACACTGCCCCAGGATCCACAGAAACAACACATCAAAAGCCACTGAAATGTCAATCCATCAACCAACCAAGATTCAATTTAATGATTTGCTGGGCTAAATCATTTCCTACACAATGTCATGCAGGCTTCAAGACATGGGCAATCAGTCACTAGCAGTTTGTTGCAATGGTTAATCGCTGTTGCTGTTCAAAGAAGTTGTACCCGTCTTATCTTTGAAAATTATCTGCATTCAGTTTCCACTGATTCACCTATTCCTTCTCAAGGAGGATAAAAGTACCTTAATAATTCTTCTTTTCACCTGTGGTGATATTAGATACACTTCTCCTCAGTCTTTGCAATAATCTATATGAAGTTTTATGACATCTTACATCAAAGGAATTTTTTCTTCTCTTTGAAATATATTTTTGTTACTTCATACACATTTAGGAAAAAAAATGCTAGTCCCTAGAGGACCAATGGGGACTGAAAAGAAAGGGATAACTATGAATTCACTTAGCTGCCCTGGAAAAGCGGGAGGTCTCTTGGTACACATGAGAGGAAGGAAACACTAACGGAGGGAATTTACTAAAAGAGACATAGAGAAGGCCAAAAAAATGCATTCAATTCCCCCTTTTTGCATCATTGTTTGTAGAAAAGTTGAAATATGAGCAATTCCTAGAAAAATCCTGGAACAAATCACCAGACAACTTCTAAACTCCTGGGAGATATTGGCTGGATGAGGGATAGACATGGACTCACGAAGAACAAACATCTCAAAAAAGAACAAACATCTCAAAAAAGAACAAACACGTTGAACAAACTTAATTTCTTTCCCCGACAGGCCAACAGGCTTCATAGCCTGGGGAGAAGCAATAGATTTAAATAAGCTTTCAACACCATCTCACATAACATTCTTACAAAGACAGGGGAGCACAGAATATTTGTAGGACTGATGCAAAACATTGCTGGCTTTAGCTGGGTTTATCTTGCTGTACCTCAAGAGCAGTTATCCCTGACTCCATGCAAGAAATAGCAAGATCTGCAAATCTTCTGCAAGGAAGCTGTGAACCATCTGGTTGCACAACCCAAAGTGAAGGCTTGAAAGGGCAGAAATGGCATGGCATATGTCTTGAAATATTCAAAGAGAAAAATACTCTGTTCCAAATGGCCACGATATACAGAACAAAAAATAATGGGCTGAGAGATTAGTAAGGGGAAAAATGAGGTTAGATACTCAGATAGATTCTAGGAATATTTTCTAACAACAAGAACAGTGAAGCATTGCAGTAGATTACATGGGCAGAGTGTAATTGCCATCATTAGAAGTAATTAAGACAGGTATTGCTAATCCTGGTTTAAGACAAATAGTTAGACTATATTACTTCTCAGGGTCACTTCCAGCACTATTTCTTTCTGATTTTCCCAGGGAGAAAATATGACAATTAGAACAAATGTGAAAAATTCAAATATCCAGGCAACAGATAAATGGTGGCTATGTGCCTTACATGCCAAATATAGAAGAAAACAGAAAAAAATGAGCAAAATATATTTTTCAATGTTGTCCTCACATTTTGCTTAATCTTGGATGCCACCCCCAGCTCCTCCTGAGCTCGACACCCACCAGCTGGCATTGCTTTGCCTGCTCCAGGGCTTTCGCTCTTCAGTCACTTTGTGGCTCAGGGGAGTTCAATGGGATCGTGGGCTTTTATTTAGTTACTGAGGACATCTAAATGCAGGTTTCCCAGGCTGCTTGGGACTCTAATTCTGTGTTGTCTCCTGGGGGTTCATTGACAAAGGATGATAAGAAATGTCACAACAGTAAACATTTCACTCCATTTGACCCAACTATGTTATTATAATTTGTTAAATAAACAAGTTTAGAGCCAGATAAAGATATAATTTTTCCATTTAGCCAGAGAAAAGTCAGCTATTTGCCCAATTCTGTTTAAAACCTATGTATTTCCTAAATGAGAGTCAGAAGAAAAAATTGAGACTTGTTCTGCCTTTAAGTTAGATGTGTCAGATACTGGTGAGATGCTGGTCAGATGCTGACCAGAAGTAGAAATCCAGTCTGGAGATCAGTTGCTCAAGCCACCAGCCACCACAGGAAACCGGAGGTACTTTCAGTGTCCAAAAGGCCAAGGCACCATTGTAAGTGGCATCTAAGTGTCTGCCACAATGATAACTCCAGTCAAATCATGAACCCAGCCTGCTCCTGTTTAATTAATTACCCAAAGCTTCAAATTGTGCAGTAATACACAGTATAGATTGTGTAAATACCCCTGGAGCCATAATGAGACTGCAGCAGCCACGCATAAAAGACCCTATAGTATTTATATGTTCTAACCTCTCCCTAATGGGTGCCTGCCTATATCTAAAAGCTTTTAGTGCAAACGTGGATGAATGTGTCACCGTATCTCTGTTGTGATTTACGTTTGCAGGAGCTGGAGGAGCACAAGGGTACCTGCGTGATTGATAGGATGCTGATCAACTTCTGGAACGTTATTTCCCCTGTGCAGCTCTGTGTCTCCAGAGCACGCTGGTCAGAGTATTGTTTATTAATTCTTTAGTGTCTTTATTTGTCAGAGACTTTAAAAATCAGGCTTAATATGAATTTAGTGGGTTTTCTGAATCCATTACTTGTGTCCTTTTTTAACAACTGTACTTGTACTTTGGGACATGGTTCGCAAAAGATTACATGTGTCGACTGGATCCTTCATCTTTGTTAGATATAGGACCATCTCCAAGGAGAATATTAGTACAGACGATTAATAGAATTTGAACAACTTGGGGATAAGTGGCATATCCACTCAGTTTCACTATGGTGGTGTCAGCAGAGCTGGTGGCTATCCGTAGCACTTTCTGCTCTGCTCTTGCACAACTAGAAATCAAACTCTCCAGGAAGCTGAGGGGATGAGAGAAGTGTGGATACATATATTTACGCCAAGGTGATTAAAACCAAAGAAGTCCATACAGAAAGGGAAAGATAGTATTTCCTCTGCAGGCACAAGAGACAAGGACCATCTTCTCCAACCTGTAACTCAACGGGCTGCATTTGTGAGGAGCAGAGACAAGGAGCTGCCAGCAAGAGTGGGGCAGGTAGGAATGTCCCAATAGGATGATTTTGCTTTTCAGTGTTAAAGACCTGGTGTAAGTGTGCACCAGGATGGGAATCATACCACTTTATACTGGGCAAGGATTTCACTGCAAATAACCTTTGTTCTTTATTATCATATTATCTTTATGGCCCTGCTCCTCTCTGGTTTCTCTTGCACCCCTCACTTAGAACGTCACGTCAGAGTGGGTCCACATGTTCTTCGTGGAAAACTCTGGGACTTCTCCAGGTAGTGACGAGGACATTAGTGGACCCTAAGAAAGTCTAAACACTAAAGAATAATTAGATTTCCATGCAAGATGAATGGCAGGGAGGAGACAAGTGCCAACGAACCCATGACCCCAAGCCTTCTTATCACAGAATAAAAATCAGACAGAGGCAAGGCACTGTACATGTGCCTCTAAGCTGCTATAAATCCCTAAATGGATTGTGCACTGTATGAAAGGCAAGGGAAATAGGCCAAGCCTGTGCTGGGCAGGAGCCTGAAAGGCTACAGCAAACAATGTGCTTGAGTGAATTGCATTGCTTCAGGACTAATGCATTCAGCTGCTCTTTCTCGCTGCTGAAATGAATAACAATGCTACAGCACCCCAACGAGGCACATCTTTAATACCACTCTTGTTTCATTAGAGCTTCTTGCTCAAGGATGTCGTTGTCCACCGGTTGCTTCTTTCTTTTCTCCCCTCATGATGTGTCGTTGTGCCCGTGGGGACATATTAGAGCTCGCAAGTGTCTTTACGTGGTCTTAGCACTCTGTCTGAGAGATGATGTGCGTTGCGTGCTGAGCAACACACATAATGTGTCCTTTTGTTTCAGACTGTTCTGCAATTTCCCGGAGCTGCATTAGCTGGATTAGGCGGCTTTGCGTGTACTCGGCCGTGGGGCACCGGGCTTTTTTTGGCACGGAGGTTCTGCTACTAAA